TGTCAGAAAAACTGTAAGAGAAGGAAGGCCTCTGGAGGAAAGACTTGATTTGAGGAAAGGAAATAGGGATAGAAGAACTGGACAATATTATCAGTTTCTCCAAAGGGGAACTTCTTCACTCTGTGTCAGCTCAAAGATTTCACAGCAGCTTTCCAAAGGAAACCCAGGTACCTCCGGAAATGACGCCAGTGATTTAATACTCCTATGGGCAAGTTCTGTCAGATTTAACTGCTGTGATTTAAAACATGGCTGTCCCAGATGTTTGCCCTGCTCCTTGGTTGGAAATTACTGCCTTAGAGGAGAATGTGGCATGTGCTAGTGTCTCAGGGCTCAAGTTTACAAGGTGGAGAACTCTTTTACAGGTTTTTGAACTTACATGAGGGACTGTGTACTAAGACAGTTGTGGCACCAGTTTGTTGCCAGTGCTGCCATCCCTTGCTTACAGGATATTGGGTAATCTCTGCTGAAAGTGAGGAGCCAGGCAGGGAGCGACAGCTTAGGCTGATGCAGTTAAATCTGTCTGAATTGTCTGTCAAAACCCTCCTCTCTGAGGTGTAGGCACTCCAAAGTCAGGGTTTGGTGGTTCAGGCATTGGACAGTGCTGGCCTTCATCCGCACTGAAGATGTTTCGCCCCGAGGCACCGGTGGGCTGTGCAGAACAAAGTGCATGACAGCACTGAGGGGTGATCAGAGCTGGGACATTTGGGTGTGAATTTAGCCATGTTTTTAAGGTGGGTTTCAGCTGATTATATGTACACACCTACATCTTTGGTCTTCATTTAGGGTTCCTTTATAATCAGTGAAGGCTTACTCTAAAGGCCCAACATCTAAAACAGGTAAGATGAATCATGGTCTGAAAATGGCTACATTTCTTCATTAGCTCTGATGAAAAGCTAGGATTTCTGGCTCTAATTCTAAAGCTAAATTGAACAAATCCTAAGTTCTGTGTCCAATTTTCCAAACATTTTCTCTAACTCTGTGGTTTTCATCCTCGGAAACCAATGCTGAATTTGCTTGCCAAGACAGATTTACCAGCAGTACACTTTTCATTTTTTTACACAATATTTATGCTAATAATAATAAAAATTGTAATACAATTGATGTGCACAATTAAAAAACTGATTAGCAAGTGGAAGAAAAAAATCAAGGTAGTAGAACATTTCATTGAATTACTTACAAGAATTACATTTTTGAAGAAGAATGCAAAAAGGTGATTCCATTTATAAGATATGCTGTAAACAGAAAAAGTAATAAGTGTCATAGGTTCCACTTTATTGTGCACTTTTATCCACTGAGGATGTTTGCATTTGAATAATAGGAAAGTGATTTCTCCAACCTGTCCTTGAACACTTCCAGGAATGAGATATCCACAATCTTCCTGGGCAACCTATTCCAGTGCTTCACCACAGTCTGAGTAAAGAATTTCTTCTTAACATCTAATCTAAACCTGCCCTCTTTAATTTTAAAATCTTTCTCCCTTTACCTGTCACTATCTGCCCATGCAAAATGTCCCTCTCCCTCTTTTTTATAAGCCCCCTTTAGGTACTGGAAGGCTGCTATAAGATCTCCCCAGAGCCTTCTCTTCATGCAGATCAACCCCAGCTCTCTCAGCCGCTACGTGTGTTATAATGAAGGTCTTAGGAGCCTCACAGTCTGATTTCCTCACTGCCCATACTGTTGTGGGAAAAATCAACACAAATAGAAAGGAATGCAATGGCGAAATTCATAAAAAATAAGATATTTCTTTCTTTTTTGCTCTTTTCTCTGTGTGATTAATTACCTCTTGTGCCTCTACTACAAACTCAGTTAGTAGAATTTAAAACTAGACTCCTTCCAACCTTGTTAATGTATGTGACACAGAAAATTGCTGAAAGATGAAATCTGGCCAAACAGAAAATAATTCTTCAACGAGAAGGTGTGCATGTGCTAGAGAGAGGCTGTAGTGGGCTCCACACAGGACAAATGCAAAGGGTGGGGAAACACAGGAACCTCCATTTTCACAAACTGTGAGAAAAAAAATTTATGGAGCTGTGATTTGAAAATAAGGTCTTACCATGGGTGAGGACCACAAAAGCATTTGCAGATGTGGCAAAACCTGGGAACTGAACTGGCAATACTATTTGAAAAGAGAGAGCAGGAGCCATTGTTTCCTTCAGTTCTTTGGGATCAGCTTGAAATCAAGTAGACCATCTTGTTCCCTAATAAGTGTAGATAAAACTGCAGTTTTCTGGGTGTTGGAAAAGGTGTTCACTTCTAATAGGGCCCTTTGCAGGTACTTTTCCTGTCCTTCTACCACATGATGTGAGAAACTTGGTTTTAAGTGAAAGGGGTAGGAGATGTAATTTGTTACATAAATATATATATATATATATACACACATACACATATGTAATGGTTTGAACGAATCCCTGATGTGGGTAGAGCTCCCTGCCCCACCTAAATCCAAACGGTCAAAGGGACCTGTGCTGGAATCCCCCTGCACTGTCCTAACCCTGCAAAGATATCTGTGCAAGAGTAGCAATGTAAAGGAGTCAGGCAAAGCATGTGGGAGATTGAACAATGCTGTCCTAGGGACTGCAGCATTTCTTTCAAAAGTAGGCTCTACTCCACTCTGTGCATAGAGGTAATAATCTCATCTCATCACTTATAAATTCTCTGAATGTCCTACCTAATGGCTTAATACAGTCTATGTCTGTAGGGCCTTTAGGATGCAAAGATAGGACAAAGTGTATTTTAAAATAGCTACATGCCAAGTAAGGGTCCCTTGTCTCCAGTTTGTCAGTCCAGGCTGGACAAAGATGGGAGAATCATGACAGAAACTGAAGATGCTGTGACTAAGCAAAGGCTTCAGGACCAGCCAGGGGACAGGTGTCCAGTTATTGGGAACATACCATGACCCAAAGGAGGAATCATGTCCAAAGAGTGAAATTACAGAGTGTGGTCCTGTAGCCCTGAAAGGAGCTGCAATTCTAAGGGAATGGATGTGGCAGTTGGATCTTGTGCTTTTTGTAACTTTGTCCTGGTCTCTTCCTCTCTAGTACTGGCAGAGGACAAGTGTGATCAAACAAGAAATTACTTTTTTGAACCCTATGTCTATTTACTCTACGAAATACAAACACATGTCCTGGATCAGGACATCAACAGCTCAGGATAAAGCATGCCTGTGGGTTACCAGCCTGCTACAGGGATCTCAGAGGCCTCCCTTTCAGAAAGGGTGATGAAGGGTAGGGATATCTGCTTCCATGGGAAGGGATGCAGGGTCACTGGCCCTGTTAGGTGCTCTGTGCAACCTTACCAGCCTCCAGGAAGAACAGGGAACAGCTCATCTGTCAAAGCACAGGTTTGTGTAACACAGTGTGACCAAAATATATGAAACCACTAACAGATTATGAAAGTGATTACTCTATCAGTCAGAAGGTCTCTTGGTCAAAGCATGAGATGGCCAAAGTCTCCCTGTCCATGGGTGACTAGGCACTAAGGGATTTCTGTCTTGCAGAATCCTCCTTACTATTGTTGAATTTAAAGGTCTTAGCTAATGCATCTCCACTTATAACCCTATCATTGCACATTTGGATGCACATGCTGACTCCTTTTAGTGGTGGAATTGCTGATATGTTTGTTAATATTGCTAAAGATATGATTATACATAACATGTGGCAACCAAGCCACTAAATTCAAGTAACATCAAAGATGAAAATTAGTTTTTCCACTCCTTTTACAAGTTAATCAACAAAACTCATACTTACACCACTTTCTCCATTTACACATTTTTCCCACAACAGTTCTAATGTGGAAATTTCAATGGCTAGGACACAAATGTAATTTCCAATCAGATTGAAGCATCAGCTCGCATCTAGCATGTGGGGCCAAACCCAGGAGGCAAGAGATTTTCAGCAGGGAGAGTCATGGAAAGGGCTGGCCCTATCCTCACCCATATCTCATCAGCAGTTGTGCACCAGCTTGTGCCCACGTTGCTTTCAAAGATTTCCCACTGGCAGGTTTTGGGGATGATGTTCAGCTGCTGCTTGCACCTTTTAACATAGCTGATTATTTTTAAAGATATGGATAAAGAAATCCTAAATATAATTCCAGATCTCTTGCATGTGTTACAGATAGGAATAAAAATGAAACCAAATTTCTTAGGCTCAGAATCCAACTAGCTTTAACAAGTTTGAATCCCCAAATACACAAACACAGATTTTGCTTTAGTAGCCAGACAGAACAAAAACGGAAATGTTTACATGGTTTAGACTTGTTCATGGAAGTTCTGCCTAATTTCACTTGCACACAAATGGGCAAATATTCAGTGACAGAAACAGGATTTTGTGCTTGGTTTTGGGAAAAGAAAAAATTTAGGAAAGAAAAAAGTGCAAATAGAGATGATCTGTGAGAACAAAACTTTCACAAACAGACCCAGAGAAATGAGGCGAAGGTCCTCCTGAACAAATATTGCGATTTTTTTGCTAGTAGATTCATGATGGTTTGTTTAGACTGAGAAATTGCTTAAAAATAAAAGGGTACTGCTTAGATACAAAACTCCTGGTGTGACTGTAACTCAGTAAAATCAATTGAAGAGGGGAAAAAGACGCAAGCCCACATAGGGCTGCAATTTCCACTCCACACAGAGAGCACAGGGCCTCCTGTGGGAAGTGCAGCTCCCCAGACATGTGGTTTCAATATCTGTGGAATATGCAGTGATCACTGCTGTGTAGCAGGCAATCAGCTCTCCCTTTCTTTCATCCTGTTAGGGCTTGGCAGATAAGATGGGTGGTTTTGTACAGCGTGCTGTGTCCAGGGAGGTGCACAGCAAAGTTTCCTGCACACAACTTTCTGGGGAGCGGTGCAGATCTGCGCTCTCATGTCTCTGCGGGTTTTCTTTGCAAATCCCCTGCAGGCAGAGTTTGCTCAACTAGTTGAACTAGCTCTTTCTGTCTTGTTTTTTTGGCAAACTAAGAATTTCCTTCCTGATAAAAACTGACTGCGGGCGCCCCGATTGGGTGTCGTGTTGGAGAGGATGTGACATCAGGCACATCTCTCGCTTTGCTGGATCGCTGGCTGCTGACCAGGGCAGCCAGGGAGCTGCTTCGTTAAATCCCAACCCAGGTACTCGAGTTTCTGCACGGAGTGCTGCCGGCACCATGTCCCGGGCTGCTGCAAAGTCTGTTTGACTCATGCGTGCTGAGCCTGCTTCATAGATCACTCTGACCGCTGGGGGCTCACCGGGGACGATGGAATTTGAACTCTGGAGACCAACCACAAAGTGAAAAAACAGAAATTGGACAGACAGAGCTGAGATGGATGATGAGAGACCAAATCAAAATGCCATCAAATTGCAAGCAGTTGGAGGCCAGGCGTCTGCAATGTCTCCATCAAACTCGCTGATGAGGGGTAAGTAACTCTCCTACCCCACCACAAGTCTTCAACTCTGCCGGAGGCAGCAAAGGACAGGGTCAGGCTGCAGTGATGTGCTGCTCCCTATGTCCAGCTTCAACAGGTCCACAATCAATCCCACAAAATGCTGTCATGCCTTTGCACTTTGGAAGGGATTTTTAAAAAGCTATTTTTACTCCATACTGAAATTTTGGTTGGTTTTTTTGTGTATCATAGAAAAGGGTATTTGACACTGTACTGCAGTTTGTTCAAGCAGAAACAAATGCAGCATTTGAACCACAGCACACTGAAAAACAAGTGGCAATGTGGCATATTTAAATTAAATTAGTGCCAGCTGGAAGCTCAGCCCTGGCTCAGTTCTTCTTTTCTTTTTCTTTCTTTTATTTTTAATTTTTAAATTTTTTTCTTTTAATTGTTATCTTTCTTCTTCTTTTTCCTTTTTTCCTTTACTGCATCGTTTCTCCTTTTCTTTCAGATGAGCAAACCTCAGTGTTTTTGTCCAGGCTGAGCCACCAGCCCTGGTGGGTTCTTCTGCAATGGCACTATGATCAGTTTTGACCAATGCTGTTGTGGTCAGATAACAGCAAACAGTTATTCAGACAAATGGTCTCACTCTAATCACTGCTCTGTGTCTGGACCAGAGCCACTGAAAATATGGCATAGTGAAAAAAGACAAGTAATTTATAACTTCACATAACAGTTTAGCTGGTCGTGTTCCACATAGCTGTTTCTATGAAGTTACTCCTTCATCTAGTGGTGACTGTAGAGGGAAAGAGGCAAATTAAGAAAATGTGACTTCACACTGTCCTCACTCCTTTCCTGGGCTGTTCAGGATGCTTCCACTCATACCAAATTGAAAGTTAAGACCATAAAACCACAATGCACAGTTGATCAGTCTGTCTGCTGTGTAGTCTGCTTCTCCTCATGTGTGTCATATGTGTGCATCCTGAGGCTGGAGTGGGAGGGAAGGGACAGTGATGTTATTAACAGTATGAATTGAAACAGGACCACATTGGAGATGAGCTCCAGCAAAATGGAGGGTGGAAGGAGGGGATCCCCTATGGTGCACTGCTGGACACAGATAATTTGGTCCTTTGAAAATCAGAGTTCAGTCCATTCCTCTTGTGTTCACCTGTCAATAAGCTCTGCCGGCAACTTCCAGCCAGAATGTATTTGCCTCAGGCAACATATATCACAAACTTTAAGGGATGGTCTTTGCATATGAAAAATACCATTTTTAGTGCTGTTCTATGTAGTGCCTTTATGTCTGCAAATATGTATGCAAGAGCATACCTTCACTGAAAGGACTTCAAAGTCCCTTTCAAGCTGCACCGTGTGTGATGAGCGTGGAAGGAAACCAGCCAGGGACAGGCACAGAAGGCGCAACACCCTCCATGTAGTCAGAGGCTGGAAGAAGTAACTTCATCCATCATTACAAAAAACAGTGCTCTAGAAAGATCCAGTGAAAGCTCTGTTGTCCACAAGGAGCAGTCAGAATTTGCATGGTTGTGTGGTTATTACTATAAAGCTCCCTCTGTATACACCACCCTGCCAGTGTCACATGCCCAATTGATGGCAATGCAATCAAATATGACCAGTGGTTTAATGTGACCTCTGGGCTGGCTGGAATTTCCTGTGGTGAAAGGGGAGCTAGGTGACCCAATGCCACTGAAAGCCAGTGAGATTTGGATGTCTAGATGCTGAACTACTGTCTTGGTAACAGAAAAACAATCTGGACCCTCCACACAGCAGAAACAATGCAGGGTCTAAGGACTGATGATATTCTCTGTTCTGTATCTTTTCCACCTTTCTTTCTCTCCTCCCTTGCTTGGTCTGGGCAAAACACAGCTGTCATATTCTACCCTGTACTCCATACCGAGGTGTGCTGTGGGAGTGGAAGCTTGTGAAAGTGTGTTGTAGCTTGTGAGCCAGAACCTTTGAGAAGTTTATTGTGGGAGTTGAGAGCTTATTGAATGTATCGTAAAAATGAAGGGCTTGTTTTGAGAAGAGTGTTGTAAAGTGTTAGCCAGCACTTTTTGAGTCTAAACAGTGGGCTCATTTCCAGAATTAAGGCAACTGTACAATAAAGCACAAGCGCTCCCTGACACATGATTTGGTGTATTTGTTCAAACTGACAAGAGTTTACAACAAACATCATACCCCTGACTGGTGGGTCATAACACTTGTCCAGAGGGCTGATGTGAGGGTCACTATCAGAAGTCTCACTATAATCCAGGAAAGCTTCATCTACCACCTTCTTGTCATCTCTAAGGTGAAGGGCCCTGAGGGGAAGCCATGTGAGGAATGGCTGAGGTCACTTGGTCTGTTCAGGCTGGAGAAGAGGAGACTGAGGGGAGACCTCAATGCAGTTACAATTTCCTCATGAGGAGAAGAGGAGGGGCAGACACTGATGTCTTCTCTCTGGTGACAGAACCCGAGGGAATGGCCTGAAATTGCATCAGGGGAAGTTTAGGTTGTATGTTGGGAGAAGGTTCTTCACCCAGAGGGTGGTTGGACACTGGAACAGGCTTCCCAGGGAAGTAATCACAGCACCAAGCCTGACAGAGTTCAAGAAATGTTTGGATGATACTCTCAGGCACATGGTGTGACTCTTGGGTCTGTCCTGTGCAGGGGTAAAGGTTGGACTTCATGATCCTTATACCCATAAGGTATACCCCTTCCAACTCAGCACATTATGTGATTCTGTGATTCTGTGATTCTGTAATTGGGGTCTGACTCAGCTTGCCTGTGGACTAAGGTGGGTAAATTTCAAATTTGGATGAAAAATCTTGTTTCTCTGTGAAAGAGCAGTTGTACATAATTTTGGCAATCAGAAATCCTTGTTCCAGTGGCAGCACATACAGTGAACACGATGTGTCACCCATGTACACTGGTCCTGCTGCTTCACAGGCAGCTTTAGAGGGCAGAAGGTTTTGAACACTTTCCCAAAAGTCACTAGTTCAGGATTTTGAAAGACCATGTCCAGCTGGAACTGGCATTTCCTTAGGCCTTAATCAAATATAAATACTGATCATTTGTATGACTGACAGTGTGCCTCCTGTGCTGTGTAGAAGAGGGATGTGAGATATGAAAATCCACTGCAGCCTCCCTCCTCTTCCAGGCAAGAAACACACATTCCAGCTGGGAACAGGCAGAAAATAGAAATTTTGTTGTTTGCCAAAAGATGATGCCCTTGGTGCAAAAGCTGGGGAAATTTGCCTTCCCTTCTGGAGGGCTTGCCTACCTGGTATTGCTTCAGGGTGAAGGTATTTGCTGCAGATGGAGATAGGGCAGGAGAGACATCAGCTTGGGGCCATGCAGTTCATGGCTGCAGATCTGGAAGTACACCATGGCAATTAGTCATCAGTCATCAGACCTCTCTTTGCAAGGTATCCGAGGCTCGTGTGGAGGATTCCATAGCACTCCACTTCCATCTAGAATAAAACTCTTGGTTCCTCTCAGTATAGAACTCTCAGCTGGATTATGATGAGTTAGCACATACCTCTTTATTTTCCACTAACATTTATTTTTGATGCTTATATGGTCAATCTTTCAGTTCATTGTTACAGCTTGGCAAAATTACATGCTAATGGTCAGTCCACAAATGATCTGGCTCTTTTTAGTATCAGTAGAAACCTATATTTTCTCAAACAAGGGCTGAATGGATAAAATCTGCACATAGATATATATCCCTCTTTGTAACCAGAATGCTGACATGATGATATAACAGGTCAGTAGACTGCACAAACCCCTGCTTATATTTGTGTGGCCAAAAAAAGATCAAGTTGCAGCTCAGAAAACTTGTTCTTCAATCTAGATTTTTAGAATTTCTATAAACATACTTCCCTCACAACTCATGCAAATTGGGCAATGACATTAGTTTCTAAATGGGACAAAGCTTTTTACAGACCCTGGAAACACAAACAACAGTAATACAGGCAGGATAAGCAAGAACAACAGCGCAGCCAGATAAGCATCAATTTGACACACATCACTTAAAGTAAAGTTATTTTAGTCAGTTAATTCTATGCTTTAATAATTGTAGCAGTTTGGCTACCCTTATGAGACCAGACCTGCAGCTTCTGGAATTGGCTGTTCATCTGCTAAAGCAAAAGGATGTTTCTGAACTTATTGAAACTATGTGTCTGTTGTGGGACATGGCCCATGGAACATAGAAGGAGGCAGGCAGAGCTCAAATGAAGGTAATAACAAAAATTACACATTTCTTTAGAAGCTAATTCATGGAGTCGTAACATAGTTTTGGGTTGAAGGTACCTTTAATGTCCCTGCAATGAGCAGGAATACCTTCCACCAGAGCAAGATCCTCAGAGCCTTGTCCAGCATGATCCTGAATGTTTCCAGGGATGGGGCATCTCCTGCCTCTCTGGGCAACCTGTTCCAGTATTTCACTGCCCTCAATGTAAGAATTTTCTTCCTTATATCTAGTCAAAATTAACCTCTTTTCATTTAAAACCTTTACCCCTTGTCCCTTTGTCACAACAGGGCCTGCTTTCTCCTCATCTTTCTTATATGCCTGTTTAAGTACTGAAAGGCTGCAGTGAGGTCTTCTCAGAGCCTTCTCTTCTCCAGGCTGAACAATCCTAAATCTCACAGCTTTTCCTTAGAGGAGAGGTGCTCCATCCTTCTGATCATTTTTGAAGCTCTCCTGTGGACCTGCTCCCACAGGTCCATGTCTTTCCCATGCTGAGAACCCCAGTGCTGTATGCAGTATTCCAGGTGGGATCTCATGAGAGCATAGGGGCAGAATCACCTGCTGATGAGGCTGTTTTTGATGTAGACCAGGATATCGTTGACATACTCCAGCCTATATGGATATCAGGTGTTGCCTCAGCTGAGATGCAGCAGCTTCCATGCTTGTGGGACCTCATGAGGTTTTCATGGGCCTACTTCTTGAGCTCGTCTGGATCCCTCTTGGTGGCATCCCATCCCTCAGGAGTGTCAGTTGCACCACTCAGCTAGATGTCATCTGCAAACTTGTTAAGGGTGCACTCAGTCCCTTTCTCTATGGCTTGACGAAGACATTGAATAACCCTGGTCCCAGTGCAGATCCCTGAGGAACACCACTTGTCACTGATGTTCATTGGGACATTGAGCCATTGGTCACTACCCACTGAATGAGACCATCCAACCAACTCCTCATCCACCAAACAGTTCACCCATCAAATTCACCTCTCTCAAATTTAGAGAGAAGAGTGTCATGGAGAATCATGTCAAAGGTCTTACAAAAGTCCAGATAAATGACATCTGTAGCCCTTCCCTTGTCCACTGATGTAGACACTCCACTGCAGAAGGCCACTAGGTTGGTCAGGGACTGATATACATCACCCAGATTTCCTGAGTTCATTCCTCTGTTCATTTCAAGTACTTATAATCATTGGGGTGGACATGAAGTGGCTCAAAATGTTGTGTTGTCATAGCAGAAATATCCTTTTGCCTATATGAACAACTACACAAATGTATTGCACAGTTTTAAAAGAGTCTTGCAAGAATAACTATAAATCTATAGCAGACTTTTTGCAGCCACAATGCCAGCAAAAGTCACTCCCCTTACCCAACATAGTTATGCAGGCAAAGATTTCTGTGTTTGATGAACAACATATTTCAGATACCAGCATCTTCATGTCACCATTTACATAGTTGCAGAATTTTTCAATTACAGACACACTTTAAGCCTTACTATACTAGACCTCATCTTGTTTAAATTTGTGCTCCTTCGCTGACCACCCTTGAAAGTGAGAGAGCAATAGCCCAGCAGGCTGGGAGATGGTTGACACAGTTGGTCATCACCTATTTACAGCACACCATGGCATAGTCACAAGGGGCAAGACACTGGTCGTGAGAGGTTCAGGTCTCCCATGCATGGTCATACCTGAGACGAGATCTGTGAATCTTGTATGAGCACTGACATCATTACCTTATCTGTAAAAGTTATTTTAAAGAATTATGGTGGCTTATTAGGATTTTTTTGCTGAAGGTGGACTTCTCACTGATAAGCATTCCATTCCATATATGTGGTCTAGTATAATTCCTGAAAACCTCAGCAACTCATCCAGCAAATCAGTCATTGGGGTTTTCTCTGTAGTTAGTGGAAGCAGAGTGGGACATCTTCAGAGAGCAGCAAAATGTATTTCCAAAAGAAGTTAGGTAAAGTGCCCTCTGAAAATGCTTCCCTTCCTTCCCAGGGGGAACCTGGGCTATTGACATAGACCAGGCACTGGGTTCTGAGTTGTTGAATGCTGAAGGAGGTAAATATCTCCTAGAGGGATTATTGCTGTCAGCTGGCTCTGAGCGATAAAATCTGCAATACTGAAGATCTTCTATTAATATTTACATGGTATATATGTTTTGTACCTCACTTTGTGGTTTCAATAACACAGAAAACATAGCTATCACTTATAATGCACCACTCACACCAAACACTGAACACTGAAAGGCAAAATTAATAGGTAACACAATTTACCTCTTTGTACTTTGGTACCTTCTCTTGCTAAGTACTGACCCTAGCCCAGCTCTGAGCAGGGGTAAATGTCTGGGCAGCCATAGTCTCTTCAAAAGTTCTTTTGAGTTAATTGGTAAAATGTAATGAGTTCATAAAAGCAAAGGCACTGGAAATAATTGAAAGAGAGGGACAAGTTCAGCCAGAGGCAGGTGATGTTCTGCAAATCCCTCTCCAGTCTTCTGAAAGGGAGTACAGCTGCCCAGTGCAAACACAGGATGAGTTAAAAACACACTCAGAGAGAAGTCATTCTTATCTGTCTCCCTCACAGCAGCTGCTCCAAGGAAAGCCTGGCAGGTCAAATAAATAAAATAGAAGAGAGGTCACAGAGTTGAAGTAAAGTATGCTGATGAAGTGGAGTTCCTAGCCTTCTTCCTGTCTTTCTTTTTATACAGACTTTGTTTCAGACTGGTCTCCTCTACATGAAGCCTCTATCTGTGGGCGTCTGCTTACTGTGAAGAAACTCATTGAACAGGTACTCCTCCACCAGGCTGATGTGGTCTCTGCTGGGTTTGTTCAGTGGTTGGATGCGGTCTGTGCTTTACTGTGAAACTTCCAGGGTGAGAAAATCATGCTGACCAGACTGCAGTGAAATTTTCGTGTAGCAGGTTTTTTTCCCAGTTCCTTGCCCAGCACAAGCTCTGGGCACTAAGCTGATGATGCATTGAACTATCCAGGGTAATACTTTAATTCTGGTGCAAGTAATGGTAGCCTCGTTGCCGGGATCTCTGGATGGCTGAGGGATTCCCTCTGCAGCTCCTGTGCCTGTGAGCAGCTTTCTGGTGCCCCATTTGGGGGACAGCTCTGGACTCATCTGAACTTGTGTTGAGGTTTCAATTCATCCACTCACACATTTGTTTCTGAAGTGCCCGAGGGTATCTTGGGGTCCTGCTGCTGCTGCAGAAGGATAGGACTAGGGAGAAGTGATTTCTGAATGTCACCACTTCATTTCTTTGAAATCCTTGAATTTAGTTAGTGGAGGAGTTGATGGAAAGGGAAAGGATATTGGACTCTTCCAGCCTAACCTTCTGAAGCCCTTGCTAGAAACAAAAGATCTTGTAGAATGAAACCAATGGTTTCTAATACAGGGACTGGCTTTCCTTCAGTGGGTACCTTGCTGCAAAGGGCAGAAAACACTTCAAGAGCGTTTCTGGATTGGACCCAGTCAAACAACTGCAGACTCAGTGGGCAGGAGGTCAGAAGGCTTAAGCAGTGATATAAAAAGGCAGCAATCACAACCTTGCCAAGAGCTTTAGTAGCAATTTTTTGTATTTTTATTATTATTATTTATTTCATATTTTGCTATTCATGGTGTACTAGAAAAAAAATCATGCTGAGTTCATAACAGGATGTCTGTATTGTGCCATTGGACAGTCCACTACAGCTTTCTGTGGTGATTAGCAGTGTGTAGAAGAAAAGACCTCTTGTATGCTGTGCCAGTATCCACTCCAGCCAAAGCATCACAAATATTTGGTTACTTTTTGAGACAAGAACCTACAGGCAGTTGAGGAAGTCTGATTACATACAACTTTAAAGCCAGAAAGTGGTTGTTGTTGTTGTTGTTGCTATTGTTGTTTTGTATGGGCCTTTTGGTAGCTGGTTGTAATGATTTTTTCTGTTATCTTATCAGGGGAGTGATGTTAATCTTGTTACAGCGGACCAGGTGTCTCCTCTCCATGAAGCCTGCCTAGGGGGTCATGCTGCTTGTGCCAGTGTCCTGTTAAAACATGGTGCTCAGGTGAGTACATGATGGACAGGCCGTTGCCTCTAGTGTTATATGTTGTATTACCACATTTTAATGCTAAGTGATGCCATGGCAGCATATCACTGTGATTTACACTCTGTACTTACCTCTGCTTAAGGTGCTTGTGTAAAATGCATTTCTTTACATAGCAAGCCAGAAAGCACGGACATAACCAACAGGTATTAATGTTCTTTAGATGAAGATGCAATGTTCTCGTAATTTACAAGAACAAGGGAAAGTTCATCTTGCAAAGGGTTTATAATCTCTCAGCAGTTAAGGGTGTATTTTATTTTCTGCACACATTAATCTCATTGGTATCAACATGCAGAGTCTCAAGTAGAGGTGTAGGGCTGCTGGGACCAACTGATAATAAAATGGAAAGAAAATGAAAACAACGTGCAAGTAAAATGGTGAAATGGTGTCTCATGGTCACTACTTTTGAAGCTAATGTCAAAATTATCGTAAGAAAGTTGACTCACGCATATACTATCTTTTAGTTTAAAATTAAAAAAAAAAAAAAGAAAAAAGTAAAAGAAGGGGAGTGCTGCACACTTTCATCCAGAAATGCACAATTTCAGGAGAGAGCTTTGGGCAGGTGTGTTTCAGCTGAGATGACTGAGAAACGGGCACACATTTAACTTGATAACTCCCAAGAGACCCCGGAGTGGCACTGAGAAAATATATTTTTTTGCAGGAGAGGCTTAGGTGCAATTTAAAAAAGTGTATTTTTAATGATCATGTTAATAAAGTCATAATCTTCAGAAGCACCAGAGAGTTTTGGCACGGAATTAAATAAAAAGTATTGAGAACCCTATTACCTTATGAGAAACTGGATAATTGTCATCAATTTTGAATAACAAGAAGACAAATAAAATGCCTGATTGAGTTATTTTCCCCCAGGTGAATGGAGTGACTGTTGACTGGCACACTCCTTTGTTCAGTGCTTGTGTCAGTGGCAGTGTGGCTTGCTTGAATTTATTGCTGAAGCATGGAGCCAGCCTACACCCACCCTGTGACTTGGCATCCCCCATCCATGAAGCTGCTAAGAGAGGTAACCTCACAGGCATCAGCCCTCTTTTCCAAGTTGCTAGCAGTGTGTTGAGGTAGAAGAGAGAGATAAAGATAATTTTCTCAGTTTGGGTCATGTAAAATGCCTTGCTAGTTGGTCTCATCACGAGGGGTGCAGTTCTTCCCACCCCTACTGCTCATCAAGGGCAGGTCAGCTCAGTGTCAGATCCTCTGAGTTCACATGGTGACACCTGGAAGGGGATGCATTATCCAAGTCAGCTGCCTAAAATGTGGACATTTGAAGGAGAAGTCTGACTATCTTTAAAAGCAGTGGAGAGAAACACAGAGGGATTAATCTCATCTTCAGTAGACATCTGAAATGAATCAGATAAAATCAGATAAAATATGAGGCCTTTTGCCTGTTTTGCTGAGTGTGGCTTTGCAGCTCCTGTTCTCCAGGCTGGATACACTGGAATGGATGAAAGTATTACACTACCACCTCTTGACAAAACATTGAATCTTTGCCAAACTTCACCGTTGCAACAGAAAATTTGCTGGGGAAAAAAAAAGTCTGATCTCTCTGAGTTGACTCTTCCTTTATCCCTTTTAAGGTCATGTGCAATGTGTTGAACTCCTTGTGTTCCATGGGCTAAATATAGATCACAACATCAAGCATCTGGGTACTCCACTTTATGTAGCTTGTGATAACCAGCAAGTAAACTGTGCCAAGAAGCTGCTCGAGTCAGGTAAAAATAAAAATAAAGAATGATGTACTTTTGTTTCCTGCAACAGCTATCTTTGGATTATCTTTGCATCAAAGACTCAGAGACCCTCCTGCCTTGGGACCTGGAGAGGTTTCACTCCTAATGGCAGTCCTGGGTTGAATGTGGTAGTAGGGTGACCAAGATCTTCTTTACGTAGGAACTAAGCTTTACAGCTTCCAACAAAATGATAGTTGATTCTGTATTTCACATGACTGATGGTGCCTGGACCTCTTTTCTCAAGAAGTCAAATATAACTTAATCTAAATATTGAATGTTTGCTGTTATTTTCTTTTTTCTGATAGTTTGTTTTTTGCTGCCTCCTATATATAGAAATGTGTACTATAAAAACTTTATAAATGGTTTTGAATTAACTCTGCAGCTCACCCTTCTTAAGGTGTTTTAGGAACCATTATTCCAGAGTAACAAATGGGGGAATTCTCATCAGGGATGCTTATATCCTACCAAGGGCCTCTAGAACTTTTCCATCTTTACATTTTTTACCCAATAGATACTTTGGCATTTGGGGATTCCACCAGCTTAAGCCTCCAGTACAGAGCATGTTGAAACCTTGCATGTATATTGAGGGATGAGGAGTAAAGGTGGGACATAGGTGGAACTATACCTTTGTCCTGCTTCAAGATATACACAAGCTGGGCTGTGGATGAAGGACTTCCTCATGTACCATTCTTCTGGGATCATTTTCTTAGTCACAACCCCACTGCTCCTCAACCAGTGTGAGTTGTGCATGTGCAAGTTGTAGTACAAGCCCAAGCATAAAGCAGTCCACCTCTGCCTGAATATTACATCATTTATGTGTTATTCGGAGCAGTAGCAGCTAGTACAGTAAATGGAAATAAGCTACCGTATAGTCATTATTCTTTGACATTATTCTTTGTCATCTCTTGGTGTTCAGGAGCAAATGTGAACAGTGGCAAAGGCCTGGACTCCCCTCTGCACGTGGCTGCCAGGAATTGCAATGTGGAGTTGGTGACGCTGCTGATGGACTTTGGAGCAGACATTTGGGTGAAGAATGCTGATAACAAGAGGCCAATGGAGCTGGTCCCACCTGGCAGTCCTGTGGGCCAACTATTCCTGCAGAGAGAAGGTGCCCCTTAGTTCTTGTATTATTTAGGGAAAAACTATGCAGACTGTTGCAAAAGGCTATGCTATTCCAGGCTACTAACACCAGAAAACCTTGAATAACTAAGGTTGCCTCTGTTCCCTGGCATAGGGACACTATGTTTTCTAGTGCCAGAATATAGTGGATCTCTAACAGTGGTTATGGTAAAAATAATAACCCATCTTGAACCTTTGGATTGTGAATCTACTGCATTGGGGAGCAATCTTATGGAGCTTGCAATATAATGAGTAATAGAGTTTAGGGTGACAAAAACAAGCAAAACACTCCTTAAAAATTAATGGTAGCTTTTTCTCATTACATAAAACAGTGAATTTAGGGAGGATCTCTCAGTTCCTTTGTGTCTGAGATGGGAGTAGAGCCAGGAGTGTTCTCTGGAGCAAATGCAGGCAGCAAACCACCTCTGATGGGAGTTGAGGATAACCAGTGAGTGACTGGCATCTTTGGTTATACAATCAGTTTTGTGCTGGATATTGGTCTCAGCACAAACGTATAAATGCAAATTTGCAACCAGAAAAATTTTAATGCATGTGATAATAAAAAAAAGGATATCGAAAAACTTATTTTCTAGTTCTTTGTGCTAAACTTTGATTCTTGGGCCAAAGTTCTTACACAGATGCAAAAGTATCTTTAAAATGAAAGACTATATTATTTTATTTTTTTGAGGTGGGCATTAAGGAAAATTGCGCAGGAATGATATAATGAATATATATATTTATATACATTTAAACACTAGGCTTTTTTTAAAGGCCAACACTACATGCTGAATAATCCAGCAGTATAATCATAAACCTTAGGAAGTATCTATTTTGTATATGTAAATTAAATAGTTCCAGGTAATTTTATTTTATTGATTATGAACTCTTTAATTAATTATGGAGAGAAATGTTACTTGCCATTCTTGAGGGAAATTAGACTAAGGTCTCTAGTGTCTGCTCATTTTTGTATACTTGTCTTCTTTAGAATTTCTCTCAGTCATCAAGCTATACACATTACTAAATAATCTGGATTTTCACTGTTTTAAACAAGCTGATGATGGTGTGGTCCATGACTTTATTATGCCAGTTACATGTTGATGTGATTGTTGCCATGGAGAAATTTACACCAAGGTAGAACTGGAATAATAAAATGATGAATCAGGCTCTGCTTGAAATAGTAATAGGAAAATAATAGCATGGAAGCAACTGTGCTGTCCATGTTATGCATGAGCAACGGATATTTCGTTTCCCAGCCTAATCTATGGTACACAGAGCAGTGATCTTTATGAGTTCCAACCCTGCTCTGCTTGACTCCTGACTTCCATGGCACTGTGTGTGTCCTGTTTATTTGAGATAGAAAAACAGGCACACCCTGTGGAGCTGGCCCAAGACACTCTGCTGACAGCTCAGGCAGTAAGGAACTTTTCTAAGTGAAACTCAGCAATCAAAATCAGAAACAATAAATGCCTAAATGGATTTTTTCTGTGGAATAGTGTTTTGCTGTTCTCCAACATGCCCTTCTCTGGGTAGGGTCATGCCTGAAGGACAGCTGATATCTGACTTCTTTGGCTGGCTGAATGATTGCAATCTGGAGAGTGGTGCAAATACCACCTGTCTTGTTTCACACAGAGGTTTGGAAATGTGCTGTGGGGATCATTCACCCCACCAGCCCCATGGCCCCTCAGCACCAGCTGATTCTCCCCTGCCCTGCCCCCAAGCATGGCTCCTCTCCCCCCACAGCCCAGATGCTGGGGAACAGGAGCCCCCCAGCCCATGGCTGGGCAGGCTGCAGGGAGTGTGTTTTACCAACAGAGACAAGGTGGTGAGTGTGCTGACCCGGTCGCCTTCCCAGAGCAGATGTAGTACATGTTGTGGTTTCCCTTCCCACACCTTCACCATGCTTCTGGACCACCTCACACTCTCCTTGCATTGTAGGGAGGGTCCCACGTATGGGTGGAAGCTAATGATCCAGAAAATGTGCTGTGTTTTTGAAGAGTATGCTTGTGCTTGCTAAGTATTTTCCAGTGTAGTGTCATGGCTTGTGTTATGATAAATCTTCATGTTTTCGGTTTGGTTGCTTTTTCTTTTAATGGAAGCTTTTTTTTATTTTAAATGTGAGGTTTATAGTCACATTTATCTTTGGGATCAGAATGGTGAAGTACAAGTGCACTGTTATAGTGCAATAGTCAGTTTAACTTGCCCCATATTGGCTTGCCTTGTTTTGTACCCAAGGACAGGGTAACTAAGTCACATGCTGACTCCTAGCAGAAGGGTGCAGCCCTTTGCACAGTCTTTTGGTAGCACAGCAGTTTTCAGCCTTGAAGAGCTGTTGGAAATGTGGTGTCCTGCATGAGGGAAGTCTCAAAAGCTGATCAAAGCTGCGACCTCACTGCATTTTTGCTGTAACCTCCCTTCCTTCCCACTGCACGGCACTCCTCTACCAGCACCAACGCTTCAGCTCTCAGAGCATGGCTATCTCAGCTGCCAGGTGGGCAGGCATGGGCGAGTGGCACCTAAACTGTCCCCTCCCAGCTCACTTACCTCCCTCTTGCTTTCTGCAGTGTGTCTTCTTATCTCCTCCCCACTCCCACCATCCAGCCCCCACATCCATGCTTGTCCTTCTTACCTGCCCTCCCACAGTCCTCTGCCACCCTCCACACTGCGGCCCCTGTGCGGATGATGCCCTGGGGGGCTGAACACTAACAGGTACAATAGTTAAAATTTCACATAGGATCTACCTCTTCCTGAAAAAGATAAGTGACCCAAATAAGTGTATTGTGGGTGTACAATAAGTGTATTATACTTAGATTTTTAAAAAAGTGACAAAGATTCTTCAGCAGGGCTTGCATTTATCAACATGGGACAGGTTAATCTGGAAGTTTAAATAAAGAATTATATAGTGTTTCTTCTGCTATGTGTTTGTCACTGTTATGAATTACATCTCAAGAAAGTAGTGGACTGAAAATTTGGATCTCACAGGGGAAGTGAGGGAAGAAAGGACTTTTAAGGTAGTATCAATCGTCTCAGACAACTAAGTGCTTCACACTCGATCAGCTTAAAAGGAAAGGCTGATGCTGTTGGTGCTAATTGCAGCTGTATAATGACAGAGTGGATTAGTCATGGACTGGACTGCTGGTTGGCTGATGTCATTTGGTGGGTGAAGGATTGGCTTTTCACTGCTGAATGTGAAAACCTGGTGAGAGGTGGGTTGCAGGAGGTGGACAGAGCAGTGATGCACAGCTACTGTTTCAGTTTTATAATTTTGACACTGTAAAGCCATGTATGTAACTTTTTCCCTACTTCTTTCTACAGGGCCACTGTCCTTGATGCAGTTGTGCCGTCTGAGCATCAGGAGGTGCTTTGGGTACAAGCAACATCAAAAAATATCTGGACTTCTCCTCCCGGATGAGCTGAAACATTTCCTTCTCCACATTTGAGCCTTTAATATTCAAAATGATGCCTTTAACAACACAGCAAGGTTTGTTGGCTCTTTTTTCATCACTAGTGTTGCCAGTGTCTGCAATGTTAACTTAATGGCAATTTTGGATCTCTAGTAAAGCCTGCGTCCAAGAAGCACAGGACTGACTGACTTGCTCAGTCCTCACTGCTGCCACTCCCACCAAATCCATAATTTGGAAAGAAACAATCCTGCATGGTTGCATGGTGAATCTTGGAAATGTAACTTGAGAACCCCCTTGAAAGCATAGAAAATTAACATTTTAAAACAGATCTCCTGATTATCTGGCACAGTTTCAGAGGTCTTGTGGTTGACAACCCCCAGTCCAGCACTAACAGCACTTCACTCATATGTTAAGCACGCTGAGGAGTAAGCAGAGCTCACGAGCCTATCATCTGTGAGGGCTGAACTCACACCAGTGTACGGGTAAGGGAAGAGAACCCAACTGAACCTACTTGCCAAACAAGAGAGGCCCTCTGGCAGAAGTTATTTATTTTCTAAGGATATCACACTGCAGACTGCAGACAGATAAGCACCAACCAACAATCATCTGCATTTAGGCCAGCATCTGAAATAGGCATTTCTGTCATGACAGCAAGTAGGTCAGTGCTGATGGCAGCTTCCTACAGTGCAATAATAGTGAGGGCAGAGTTTTTAATCATCCATTAAAATCGCTTATTCCTGATACTTTGAGACATAAAAGAGCTACACTTCAGAACTACACATTTTGTCCTTGTAGCATATTATTTTTCAAGGACACAGGCTAACAGGCTATCAGTTGCAGGCATCGAGTGCCTCCCTTTTTTGCCCTGAAAATTAGGTGATATTTCCTAAGCATTTTTCAGCATGCATCAGAAAAACAACAGCTTCTATCTCCTTTCCCCACCCAAGAAAAGAGATCATCTTAAGAGTAAGATAATCTTTTTTTCTTGGAGAGTTGCTACCTCATAGAATTTTCCATGGGAGTGGTAATAATAACACCTCCAATGTGTGGTCATAAAACAAACAATGAAAATACGGAAAATAAAATCCATTCCAAAATATAAAAATAGTGGACAATTTCTGCCCCCTGCTCAGTTGCTGAGCAGCTGACTCAGTGTATGATATATGTGGTTCTTATTCCACTGAGGTCATAAGAACACATATGCCCTCCAGCTAAACTTTAACACTGGGCATTTTTCTTTCCCTTTCAGAAACAGGTCCTGCTGCCACAAACCAAAGAGAAGTTATGACCACTCTATGCTCTCTTGGGTGCTCCCCTGGAAATATCAGCTACCTGATACTTGTGGGAGCAAGGATGAGGAGACTCCAACTCTTCTTCCCTCTTGAGCTTGTCCTGTTCCTTCTTGAGCTGTGAACCATGGTGCATCTGCATCGCCTGAGAGCAACAGTGTACCCACTGCCTCCCATGACGAGTTACCACCACATATTCCCTGTGTTGGAGGGGCAGGCCATGCACTTTGGTGCTTCTGGAGATCCTTTTCTTTTTCATTTCACTGTGGAGCACTGTAAGAGTGGGCTGGGTGTGCAAAAAGTGTGATGACATTGTTAACACTGGCAATGACATATGCAGAGTCTTCATCTCTTAAGTAGAGAGACTGGCAGCCTTCAGACACACCAAAGCTTATTTTGATATTTACCGCTGTGCCAGTGTGTGTGGTGCCAGCCTTCCTTTCACATATGGGAAGTTAAAGAGGAGGGATCAAATGCTGCCTTGGATGCTGGTATTTGATGTAAATTACAATTCAAATCCTCGTCTGGACAACATGACTGCTGGCTGTAGGTATCCAGTATGATATTTGATTCCTTTGTGCTGATCAAACACAGCACAGTTCTGTTGGTTTTGTGGGACAGTAAATCATACCCTAATGGGACAAAATGACAAAACCACTTATGTCTGTAACTACTCTGGTGATAGAGACACCTGGAAATGTTCATTTATCTGACCCAATTCATCACACATATTTGAGCCATGTAAAAATTAACTGGCTGGTTTAAGATGACCTTCTAAATTATTTCCCTCCTGCTGAGGAAATAGACATCTGTCTTTTCAGAGGTTGAATAGAATAAACCTATTCATGATGAAGGCGAATAAACCTATTCATGAAAAAAAGGCATCTTGAATGGGAAAGGTGGATCCTTCTAAAATTAGTATCTTAAACCCAATCCCCTGTTTAAGCTGAAGAGGCTGGGAATGGACAATGAACCAGTGCTTAAATATTGAAGAATAAAGTGTGAAGAATCCTTGCTTTGGTGACACATTGGAAAGCTGAAGATTCGTCTTATTATATTTGAGATGATGGAGAAACATTCTTTTTACATACCAGTTTTATCTTTTACCTTTAGACATCTTATTTTGCAACTTCAGCCAATGGGTTTATAGGAGTAATGCTAATATCAGAAGAAAGCTGCTCTGAGAATGTAGTGAGAGTGTTGCTTCCAATTTGATTTTCTTCTGGAAATTTCATGATATGACACTGTTTACTTGAATTTTCTCTGACCAAGTGTAATTAGGATGAATTCTGTATGCTCAGCTTGTATCATCTTGGCATATTTGCTTATTTATTTTCATATAAACTGTGATCAACACTGGTGAATTATAGCTTTATGCATCAACACTTATCCAGTTATAAACTGTAAAAGTTGTACAAGATGCAAACTGAATAAGCTCATTATAGGTGAGGTTTGAATTTTTTTTCTGTATTTGAAACCATTCAAAGTGTAATGCAGAACTTGAATGATTGTGAGGAATATATTCTATCAGATTCTTTCCTATTGTTCTAATAGCAGTTTAACAGTAATTAAGTTTCAATTCTGTAGGGTATTTTCTCAAAAATAAATGGTTTGTACTCTTTTGTTTGTTTTTCACTCATTTTTTAAATGATAGGCCTAATTTTGTGGATTGTCTAATACTGTGGAATTTTGGACTGAATTCTAACTGTTTGCAATCCTGCATACAAGTGGGTAGTGTACAGAATAGTTCCTTTAAATAGAACAATAACAAAGATAAGACTAAAATGCAAATACTCTGCAAATATTGCATTTTGCTGATGTTTTAAGGTGGAGCTGGACTCTGGCAATTTCTTTTCTGCTCACTTGGGGGTTAGTGAAAAGGAGACAGAGATTACACAGAGTAGGAAAAGATGTGAATTAAGATGGTCCCTGTCTAAACTAAAGTTTGTTTTGATTTGGTTGTTTGGGTTTTTTTTAAACTGATTTTCATCAATTAGTTTCCTCTGCTACCTCGGCAAAAGGCACACGTAATGTTCTGGGTGCCATTGTGCGTGTCTACACTACAGGAACCCTCTACTGGATGTGAGGGTGTGGAGATCCCTGTATGGTCATAAGTCCAACAGGTGTCTGTCAGTTGGGTACACTGTGGGGCTGAAGAGATGTGGAAGGGCAGTAATTCCCTCTCCATCAGATACATCTCTGGGAGTCCCTGCCCACAGAGTCTGGCTGACAGAGAGAGGGCAGTGCCAACAAATCACTTTACGTGATATTGCTTCTGCTGGATACAGAGAAAACTGAAACTAAACAACCAACACCTCAACAGAATAAAACAACAGAAAATGATCCTTTTTTTAATTGAAATATATCTGATGCAACAAATCATTGCAAAGTTGTTTTGGCTCTACAGCAGTTGCTAGGTGGGATCAGACATGGACCAGGACTCAGTTCCTCATTTTGCATTTGTGCAAAGGTCCACAACTGCCCTGCCCATTTCTTGTAATTTCATATTTTCTCTTACCTGGAAACCACAGACATCCTAATCCAATAAGTGTAACATACAGCTTTTCAGAGGATGCAGAAAATGTCCTCTTGCTGTCCACTGACATGAATTTGTTTCGAGGTGACTGAGGAGGAAATAAATTTTACTTTACTAACTTAGCAAAATGAGAAAAACTGGGTGCAAAATAGCAAGTTAGTAGTGCCAAAGAGAGGGCTTCTATGCCTAAATCGGGATATGCTCAATTCCCCTCTGACCCATGTTCTCGAGAGCCACGGGTCTGAGACTTGATGCTTCCAAAGCCACTTTTTCTTGCTTAACACATGCACTGCATTTGTCAAAATGGAAGATACCTTGCCATGCAGTTCCAGCCTGAACCCTTCTGGCTTTGGATAAAAATTCTCAAGAGTTATTTCTATGCATATCAAGCAATTATTTGTCATTCTTTGACACACAGATCAGCTCACTGCTCCAAGGGATACTCTCTTTCATTCACAGAGGCAACGTTTGATGCAAAAGTGCTCTCTAGGATGCCTAGGGGAGTCCACTTTTCCTTAAAATGACAGCAGTGAACTATTACTGGGAAGAGAAATGTTTCAAATTCTTATATCCTGATTTAACACTGTAACCCTTACCCCAGCCCTACCTGAGTGCTGGAGAACACCTGGCTCATGTCACTGTGCAACAAGGTCTTGTCTCTTTTCTATGTCAGGTGAAGCCTTTCCTTTCTGAACTACTTCCCTTTGCATTTTTAACGGGGTTGAAACTCATTAATCATCACTGATTCAAGAGACATAGCACTAGATTCATGGCTTTAGTGCCTGTGAAGTAAAAATTGAGTTTTTAATCTGTCAGCTGTCTCACTTCACAAATTAAACTGTGGAGTCTCTGCCGAGTCTGGGGCTTTTGAAATCCTTAGAGCTTTTCTTTTTGTGGTCTATAAAATGCAGTGGTAGCAGTTAAAGCAGCTCTTTGTCTCATGAAAGCACGCTGACTCTGAATCATGAAGGATCACATAGACCCTGGAAAGATCTTATGGATATGACAAGCGTGGGGTTGTCTCATTGTCATTGAAACTGCCCTTTTTATTAACTTATTTTTCAGAAAGGGTATTGTGTTGGTTTTGTCTTTGATTAAATAATTGTACCAAAACAGGAACAATTGGTGTTAGGAATTTCTGCATGGGGCAAAGCTCCCAGCAGCTGCTTTGCTCTCTTCGGTCCTCACTGAAGGAGTGTCACCCCTGTGCATGACTCCCCTTTTTCACTCTTCTGCCAAGCACGGGGACTGAGACTGACAAACTCTTTGTCCCTTCCAACTGTTTATGTATAATTTTTCCTGTAAGTTGGTAGGCAGAACCTCTGCCTTTCCAAGTCTCCTCAATGAGAACTACAGACATCCCTTTCTGAAATAACTCCGTCAGTTTAGAATATGTGCCAAACGTATTTCTGCTCCTCAGCTAATAAGATGTGGTGAGCACAGGGTGTGACCACATCCCATCGTCAGTGGAGTTGCATCTATTTGTTTGTCCCATAGAAAAGGCAGAGCACTGCTCAGGCTCTGGAAGTACCAACTCAGTCTCTTTTTTCAGTGACCTGCAGAAGGGAGTGGCTTTGCTCACAAATCCATCATCTTTTTCAGTCATCCAAATGCCCTACACAAATTCTTTTCCTCGTAGACCAAAGGTTAAGAAGCTTTTCTTGTCTTTCAAGCTATAAATTCTTTTATTATTTCTCAACCAAGAAAGCAAACAAAAACAACCCCAAATGGTTCCATCCAAACCAAACAAGTTGCTCATTTTTCTGGTAGGATCAGAAAAAAAACCATGAAAAATTCTATCTACCAGTTGGTCTATTGGGACATATTCTTTAGAGGTGATGGAAGCAAGGTCCTAGAACTAAATAGATTCATTCTCTGTCTTTGCTATCCCTGGTTCTTTTGAATTATATCTTCCTTGGTTTTGGTGAATCCAAGCCTTCCTCTCACCTAGTTTATCTAGCAGGCCTGTATGACTTGAATTCACTAACAGTTTCTCACTGATAGTGTCTCAGTGAGGCATAAGACCAGATGTTTGGATTAGGGCATCCCTGGGGCAGGGACTGGCAGCCACAGGGGGCTGATATGGGGTCACGGGTCCTGGGACAGGATCAGGGGGAGCCCCAGGCAGTTGCCATGGGAGTGTAAGTGCTGGTGGTGACCTCAGGGCCTGGACATCTGGGTAGCCATGCAAATTCTCAGCATCCACAGCATTCATGGGCAGGGCAAGAGGAGATCTATAGCTCCACCACGTGTTTTTTGTATGGCTAATCCCCCCGTTTGTTCTGCAGATGTTTTCAGTTAATTTTATCTAAGAAAATCAACAATTGTTTCTTACTCTCATTTTTACTCCCTTGATAGTCCTCTATCTCATCCCTCCCTAATAACCTCTCTTTTTCCCAGACTAGGCTCCCAGCCTCTTTCACCCCTCCTTGGACAGAGACCTGGATGAAAAAGAAAAAGAAATAGAAAAAGAAAAAGAAAAAGAAAAGAAAAAGAAAAAGAAAAAGTGGCCATAGCTATTCAATGCATCTCCACTGCCTTCCCTCAGCGTCCTCTGTGGTTTCTCAGAGAATTCCCTGTTCTTGGCTCATGTAACCTAACAACTTATTCCTAAAGAAATACATGGTGAAAACACCTTCAGCTCAGTCCCTGAAGGGGTTTTACATAAGCTGACTACTTTCAGTCATCTCATTCCATACCAATGATCTGAATTGTTTTGAATGCTTATCCTGGATTAAAGGGGGACTGCTACTGCAAAGCTCCAGCAAAGGGCACATCACAGAGAGCTCTTCTTTTCCTGAGATATGGAAACGGGGTTGTTCCTGATCCCTGTGCACAATCCGGACTTTTTGTTTGTTTTTCTGTGTGCCTGAGCAGCTGAGTGGAGAGGTGGCCAGGCAAAGCATTTTTCCCCCATTAAGTGTGATAATTAAAAGCCCTCAAACCCTATGAACCAGGAGTAACAGTCAGAACATTGAGAGACGGGTGGGATAGGAGCAACTGAACACATCTCTGGCTCCGAAGACTTAAGATCAGGATCTGCTGTCTTACTCCTGCCACATCAGCTCCTCCCCCAGCGCTGGCTGCTGCTGCCCCTGGCACAGGAACCATCCTGGGGGAGGAAGGTGAGGGGCAGAAAAGTGGCTGCCGTGGGGGCTATCAGACCCGCTGCCTTTGCCCACTCCCCCGGACAGTGCTGGGTTTAGCCAGCAGATGGTATTGCTGGCACACGTCTCTGCAGAAAAGTTTTAAGAGAGGAATAATCAGAGTCGAGATAGAAAAGACGTGGTGCTGGGAGTGAAGGCAACCCCAGGCTCTCATGGACCAGGGAATCGGCCATCATTGCCACTTCTATCTGAAAGTGGTGCAGCTTTTGTTTATTAGTGTCCTATTGCACAGCCTTTCTACATCTATTGTCTGAAAGTGGAATTTGACAGGATGCATACAATGCTCAGGGTTTGTCTTAACTGTTAGACTAACTGTGCTTAATGCTTGTCTTCCTTTTATTATGAAGTCTAATGTTTTTACCACTTATAAATACTGTGAAGAATGCACTGGAGAACTCTGAAAAAAATGAATGCAAACACTCTCACTTGGTCACTGGTTGTCAGCGACCTGGTAATTAGAGGTATCCTGCAGCACTCCTGGCCTTTGAAAGGTCTGCTCATTGACTTAGTTTTTTACATAGCAGTTTGCTTAATATATTTTCTATATTAATATTGCTTAATATATTTTCTTTATATTTCTAACCTCCATTAGCACTCGACAGAAAAAAGACCAGTTCCAGAAAATGGAACATCCATACCTACTGCAATTACATATAATTAACCAATTAGAAACAGAAATCTGTCTCAGTGTTCAGAATGAGCACTTAATGGAGTATAATACCTTTCAAAACCCCTTCTCTCTTCTTAGGAAATAATTACTGTTGCTGGCTTCCTAATTTCACAGGCTGGCTGTTACCACTTTTCAGACAGCAGCTCTAAGCAAGAGTCCTTCCCATAATTTATTTTGTGTGAGAGTGCTCCTTGGAGCCTTCTTTAAAACACATGTAGCACAGAACTTTACAAAACCATTTGGTAT